AGCACGAACAATGTGGGGTACCTCAAAGGGTAAAACGGATATACCCCATACAGTTTGAAGTATATATGCCTCATAAATTTGTTTTGGACACGTTCTAGCATTAGGCTGTACTTTTCTTCATGCGGAGCCCATATAACAGCACTGTACTCCAAGTGACTCCTGACTAGAGCATCGTATAGTACTTTCAGTGTAGTAATATTTTTAATATCTCTTGACTGTCTCAGGAGAAAACCCAGGTTTCTATACGCCTTTTCACAAGTTTTAACAATATGTTCGCGAAACGTTAGATCGGAGGTGAGATGGATTCCGAGATCTCGTACCTGAGACACACGGGTTATCGGTGTCGCTTCCATCTTGTATTCGAAGTGCATCGGCTTACGCGCGCGGGTGAAAGACAACACCGAACATTTGGATACATTAAAATACAATTTATTTTCGTGGCTCCACTTCACCACTCTGTTTATATCCTCCTGTAGACATTCACAATCAGATGTAACCCTAGCTGGAAGCATCAATTTAAGGTCATCTGCAAATAATAAACAAGTACTATCTCTGACGACTTCTGGTAAGTCATTTATCATTATTAAAAATTCAAGAGGCCCCAAATTGCTGCCCTGGCTCACACCGGATCGTGTATACTATAGTCCTGATTAATACCCATGGTAATCCACGTACTGCTGTCGATCTTTCATGTAGCTGACGAAGAACTCAATTTCAATTTCAATTTAATTCTTTATTTGCGCAATATGGGTACAGATGGTGTTACAGTGGTCAGTTTACATTGTTGATCGCCATATTTAGGCTCATGCCATGCAAAAATTCTCAATTACATGCTATAGTTTAAATTAAAATTATTACATATCAAATTACAGTGTCGAAATAATTATTAAAAATAATGTCAAATGAGATTACCTAATTAATACACAATCTCAACTTTGTAAAATAAATGTCACATAAAATGTCTAATTAATATCACAGTACCACTAAGCCAGTTACAATACTACATCTAATAAATTGTCTTCAAGAAATTCCCTTACCGAATAATATGATTTTTCTAAAAGTAGTGTCTTCACTTTTTTTTTTAAATAAATTATTATTTGAAATTTCAAGCAGAGAGTTGGGTAAATGATTATACACTCTAGGAATCATACAAAATACACTGCTGTTTAAAAGTTTAGTTCTGTTAGACATGAAGCTTATTTGGAAAGGGTATCTCTTGCTTTTTAATTTAACAAATAAGTTACTATTATTTCTTACAAATAGTACCATATCCAGTATATAAATACACGGTAGTGTCAATATTTTAACTTTTGGAAATATCGACCTGCAGCTCTCGGTTTGTTTCATTCTATATATAGCCCGAACGCATCTCTTTTGCGCTCTAAAGACCAACTCTTTTCCTACAGAGTTGCCCCAAAACATAACACCATACATTAAAAGAGGAGTAACATGTCCATGGTAAGCCATTAAAACTGTGGATGTACTGGCAGTTTTGGACAACATGTAGATCGCATATGAATATTGATTAAGTTTCGAACACAACATCTCTGTATGTGACTTCCACTTTAGTTGAGAATCAATGTTCAGTCCCAAGAATTTCGTTGTCTCTACTTCTTCAATTGGAGCATATACGAAGTACATCCGACTTGAGCCAACTTTTTTAATAAAATATCATGATCCACCGTATCAAACGCCTTTTTAAAATCAAAGTAGGCTATGACTACTTGTACTCCAGCATCAACTGCGGGTACTACCTGCGCCATAAAGTTCTGCAAATTGGTGGCTGTACTGCGGTCCGGCCTAAACCCGTGCTGCGCATCGGAGAGATAAGCGCTTATTTGTGACTGCATCCGTCGGTGGATAGCTGACTCGAACACTTTCGCTGCCGTCGACAGTACAGCCACAGGTCTATAACTGCTCACATCAGTACCTGACTTAACTTTCGGAACCGGAATGACTCTCGTGATCTTCCATCTCGCCGGGAATGTTGCATGTTTTAAGCACATATTAAAAATATGATGTATATATATCCGTCTTACACATATGTAGATATGTGTATGACGGAAAGCGCAGCACGCATGAATCCAATTTACATTTTTATTGTTTCATTTTTGTTATTGTTCATCCCTGCAACATCATCAATTTACTTTATCATTCGATTTTGGAACATACGTTCTAGTAATGCGTACGTTCTATTAAGCCTCCCCTTTTGGTGTAGTAATTATAATATAAGGCATTCCTCCGTTTTGTCCCGAGAATATACAAAGAAGAAAAAAGACTTTTTTAGAAAAAGACCTCAGGAGATCTTGATATCTCCTACCAGATATAAAATCCTATGCTTTTGGAGGTGGAAAGCAGCAATGAAGGTGCGAGAAGTCTGGTAGTGCGTCTGGCAATCTGCCGGCCAAGCGTGCCAATTACGACGGAGCCTGCCTATTATAGGTAGTATGCTCCACTGCTAGGATGTGGTTATTTTTCGTTGTGTAACATATTATTTATTTATTTTTATCTTAATTAAAACGGTTAAACCAATTACATTTATTAAAGACAACATATTTATTCTTTTCGCTCACAATATTATTATAATTATTATTCTCATACCATCATCCATACCCAGAAATTTATAAATAAATCGTAATTCAGTGGGAAAACCACAAATAACACAGTAAAGATTTCTCATATGTCATGATTTAACAACAGCTTGTATAGCCCAATGCGGTTAACTTATTATTTTATTTTGAGTACTAACCGCTTGTTAACTCTTCAATCACTCCCTATAATGAGCATATTAATTTGAAATGTGATATAACAGGTCGGTCGTATTTTGTTATTTGTATAAAATTGAAGAAAAATCTCTTTGATTATACTGCTTGTATCTGGTTGGTTTTAATATCAATACATATAGGACATTAAGAAAAAGAAAAATAAAAAGTAAAAACACTTTCCCGCCATTTTTCAATTGTTCTTCTGTCCGCCAAAATGAGTGAATCAGACGAAGAAATTCGATATAATATTCTGAAGTGTTATTACAAAAAAACGGAAAAATGCGACTCAAGCCGCGAAAGAAATTTGCGACGTTATGGACCTAATGCCTCAGACCTAATGTGTCAGAGAGTAGCACAAAGTTGGTTCAAGTCAAGCGTTTTCAGTCCGGGAATTTTGATGTCAAAGATGCAGCTCTGGTCGCCCTCATACGGATAAAGTCGATGCCATTTTTTAAAAAGTGGAGCAAGATCGGCATATTGGTAGTTACGACATAGCCGAGGAATTGAAGATTGACCACAAAACAGTTTTGACCTATTTGAAAAAGTCTTGCTATACAAAAAAGCTCGAAATTTGGATACGACATGAGCTCACTGAAAGAAACCTAATGAATCGTGTACTCATTTGCGGCTAGGTATCTATTGAAACGTAATGAAACCGAACCATTTTTGAAAAGATTGATCACTGTTGATGAAAAGTGGTAGTCAAGCTCCACATACTGTAGCGAAACATGGAAACACATAGATAAAAGGTTGTACAGCGTCGTCATCATCATCATCATTATAGCCCTTCACAGGCCCACTGCTGAACATAGGCCTCCCCCAAGGAATGCCACAAAGCACGGTCCTGAGACATCTGCATCCATCGATTTCCTGCATTGTTTTTACTCCATCTAGTGGGGGGACGCTCTACACTTCGCCTGCCGGTACGAGGCTGCCACTCGAGAACCTTTCTTCCCCATCGATTGTCGGTTCTTCGAGCTATATGGCCGGCCCATTGCCACTTCAGCTTACTAATCCGTTGGGCTATGTCGGTCACTCTGGTTCTACAGCGGATATCCTCATTTCTAAGTTTATCACGCAGAGAAACTCCGAGCATAGCCCTCTCCATAGCTCGCTGAGCGACCTTGAGCTTCCTTATCCGGCCAGCAGTGAAGGAGCACGTCTCAGATCCATAAGTCATCACTGGCAACACGCACTGGTTGTACAGTCAAGAATGGTGTATTAAGATGGGCCAATATGAGAAATCTATTTTCTAACAACACAGCAATTTTAAAAAAAATGCCGAGACAACGCACCAAATTAATTTGCTTAGACGACATAGGACGACATTAACTTTGGAGAAAATGTAAATCGAACTACCTAGCTTATTTCGAAAAATTAAATTTTTTAAACTAATAATTGCATCAGTCGCTGAAATGCATATTTGCAAGCAACAATGTATCCCGAAGTATCCAACCTAATCATTGTAACTTTTATTGTAATACATAAACATTTTTACTTTTAATGATTAATGAAGTTTTTACTCTGATGATCTCAATGCTGTGTATCTAGGCGCGTTGCGATGCGAGTAGGGTTGCCAGACGTAATTTATTTTAAGGGATTACCTCTATTTCATATCCAAAACTTGATCTTGTCCCCTCATTTGAAATCTTTAATAGAGGACAATGCAATATCGTTCCTTATCTATCCTGTCTGTTAGTTGAGGTAATAGAGTTTAAAAATCATTGTACATGTTTACATTGCGTATTAACATTTTTTTTATTAATAATTTTCGCTATTGATACCATAACAGCATTTCATTGAAAACAATATGATTCCATATTATTTTGATCCTATGTTCTTTATTTAATTAAATCGTCTAAAATATAAAACGGGAGTCGGCAACACTAGATGCGAGTGAGGTGTTTTTTTAATGAAATTGAAGTGACAAACGAACTTGCAGTCCAGCTGATGGCAAGTGGCTGCCGCAGTCGATGGACACCTGTAGCCAACTTTATGCAAAGAAGGCGACAGAGGCGTTGTCACCTCTGATGACTAAGATGGAATGCCTCACAGCCTGTAGTTATACTGACTCTCTACACTCTTTACACCGGAACGCAGCAGTGCAAGCTAAGCTGTTATTTGGCGGCAGGGATAGTTAGAAGGGTGACACCTACCCAGAGTTCTAAGCAGAAATGGAGGTCTACCATCTGAAACTTGGGGGTAACTGTTAGTAAATGTGGCGGTGGTGCGCAGATGTACGCGGGCGCGCTGCTGGCGACGGCGGCGCGGCTGGCGTGGGACCCCAGCACGTACACGTGGTTCCGCTTCCTGTGCGCCGCGCAGTACCGCGTGTCCGCCGCCTACGTGCTGGCCGCCGGCCTGTGGCTCGTCGCGCTCGTCTACCTGGCCGCAGCCGCCGCGGCCAAACGCACCGTCTGTCTACACATCGTGAGTACACCTTATTATATTTGTAGCTTGGTGACTTTTTTTTATAGCATAATAGTGACAAACCCGCCCACAGTCCACCTAAGATGGATATCGTGGCCCATGGATATCTACATATCTACCCGATTAAGAATCAAAATGCAGATGCGTTGTCACCCTTGAGGACTGAGATGGAATTCCCCTTTTGCAGTTAAAAGAGTCTCCGGTTCTCTACACCCACCATACGAAACACAGCAGCGTTGAGCTAAGTGACAATGCATCTGTAGACTTCTTTATTTCAAGTAGGCTGAAAGTGTCTATGGATTTATCATCAGGTGCACTCAAGTTCGTTTTTCACCTTAGTTTAAAAAAGTGTTATGTTGAAACGACTTTTAAATTAGTAGTAACACTGTTATGAATGAGTTAAATACACACATACGTGATCCTGCCAATTTTGAAGTTACTTAGACCAATGCTAAGTGTTTCCGCTCAGCTTTACTCTTTCATAATTAAATCTAACTACTTGTGCTTAGTTACAGTGGTAAACTTGTTGTATTTCGTATTAGCGCTGAAGTTAATTGAACTTTTATTGTACTCGTACATCAAAACAATGAGGCTGCACCATGTTTTCTGATTAGAACTTTATATGGTAGGATATAGTTTATGCAATACTAATACAAATAAGAGAGTGTTATTCACTGAACTGAACTGAAGATCTATAGTGAAACTTATTTATGCGAAGCGGGTTTGTTTCATAAAGGCACATTTTTTTTCTAAATTCAATATTAGACTTTATATGAACAGAAATAAAGACGTGTTCTTGTTTTAAGGGTTTGAGGACTACAGGTATAGAGAGATGACGTATGCAACTGTAACGCGGCCATTCATTGCTGGCCGCTTGAAAAAGCTTTTGTTGTCAGCCGCTCGGCGAGTATGGAGTTATGCTTGGAGTTTTTCTGCGTTACAGAATCCGTAATGATGATTTACGTAAGCAAATAGATCAGAATGCAGTAGAACCAGAGAAACTGCAATAGCTCTAATGATCAGTAAGTTGAAGTGGCCGGCTATATAGCCCAAAGAACTGGCAATCGATGGGGAAAAGTTCTAGAGTGGTTGTCTCCTACCGGCTAAGTGTGGGTTTAGGACCACGCTTTGGTATTACTTGGGGTTTTTTTTTATAGGATAAGGGTGACAAACGAGTACACAGTCCATCTGATGGTAAGTGGTTACTGTAGCCAAAATTATCAATCAAATTACGAATCAAAATACAGACGCGTTGTCTCCCCTCAGGATTAATGCCTTTTTTCCAGTAAAAAGGGTCTCCGTTTCTCTACACTCACCAGAGAGAGTTGTCGTGCTACAACTATACCAGTAATATAGCTGCAGCACGTATGCAACCTGTATGGCGGCCTATGTTTGGCAGTGGACTTGTGATGGGTTGTAATGATGATGATAAATGATGAGGCCATGATAAAATAAACACAACTGGGGGAAAACAGTACCGATTCATGATATTATGATGTTATACGTGGTAGAGCCATGCTGCAGCTATATTAGTAGTATAGTTGTAACACGAACGGGTCGGCTCGACCGGGAAAGGACCACGCTCTCACAGAATACCAGCGTAAAATAGCTGCTTAACGCTGCTGTGTTTCGTATGGTGAGTGTAGAGAACCGGATACCCTTTTTACTGCAATTGAGGCATTCCATCTTAGTCCTCACGGGTGACAACGCATCTGAATTTTGATTCGCAATCAAGTATAAATATAGATGTACCTTTATGGGTCACAGCATCCACTTACCATCAGGTGGACTGTGTACTCTTTTGTCACATTTATCCCATAAATAAATTGTGCACTAACTTCTTGAACACGTTGGCTTTCAGAGTATTTTGTCATACCAAATGCGACGGATACCAATCATAAACAAAGACGAAATTTTGGATGGTTGTTGAATGTAACGGTGGATGGTGGCTGTTGCAGTACGCGGGCGGAGTCGCGTGCCTGGCGGTAAGCGAGGTGGCGTACGGCGCGTGGATGGTGGCTTCGCTGGTGACCTGGTGGCGCGAGGCCCCGCAGGCAGAGCTGGCTCGTCGTGCCCTAGACCTGCTGCATGACCTTAAGCCTGCACTGCTCGCTGTGGAGCGCTACCGGGATCTCGCGCGCCCACTCTACGACATGATTGAGGTAATAACCACGGGGGGGGGGGGCAAATGAGCATGTTGTTCACCTGATGGTAAGTGTCGACCGCCGCCCATAAACAATTGCAACATCATGGGTTTTGCAGATCCGTAATAGTATAGTAGGGTCTTTTCTTGAAGGTCCCTAGGTCGTATCGGTCCGGATAAATCGCTGGTGGTAGTCGATTCCACAAGGAAGTTGTGTGAGGAAGAAAAATTCTAGTAAATAACATAGCGACTGGCTGCAGGATTAGAATAACCGAATAAGTTCAGCGGATCAGTTGTCTGTGGTGGCTGAAGGTCGGTGGTGTACGACTAGCACATACAACCGTAATCGATGAGATGAGCTAGCTAGCATTTTTACTCAATATAGAAGAAGACCTTTGTCCTGGGAAGAACAAGCAAGAAACCCAGCGGAACTTTTTTTAAAAGCATGATTTACAATAATATAATATTTATACAGTTGTTATGAAAACATTTAGAAACAGCGATCTCCTCATTCCATTTAATTTTATTCATTATAGGATCCCTAGCAGATGGTAGTAACCCAGCCATCTTCTCTCTTGAAATTGGGATGTTTTTAGGGTTCCGTACGTCAAAAGGAAAAAAACGGAATCCTTATAGGATCACTTTGTTGTCCGTCTGTCTGTCTGTCAAGACCCTCTTTCTTAGGAACGCGTAGAGGTATCAAGCTGAAATTCATATCAAATACTCAAGTCTACTGTCCCTTAGAGCTGTGAAAAAATCAAACTTCTAAGCCAATGCAATCAAAGGATACAGCCGTTTATGCCGTAAATTTTCGACATTCGCAAGGGAATCAAAACCTACAGGGTACTTCCCGTGAACTCAGAATCTTCAAATTTGGTACGAAGCAACGTTTTATAGCAAAGATAAAGGAAAAATTGCGAAAAGCATAAATTTTTAGTTACATCATATAATAGCAATATTTTTAATAATTTTAAACTTATATACCTACAGATTTGTTCGGAACCCTCGATGCGCGAGTCCGACTCGCACTTTGTCGGTTTTTTTTGATTTCACTAGCATCGCGAATCACCCTTCGAGTTTTTTTTAGCGAGGATTTGTTAATCGTTGTCTTGGGCGTATGCTTAGCGTATAACAGTTACGATGGGTTGCTATGATAGTGATGATAAAATAATAAACAGTTTCACAGGTATTTATCAGAATATTAATAAACTTTTTCTCTTTTGACAGGAGGTAGAACGAGAAGCACCGAATAATGCTGTGGTCATCGTAATCTTCGGCCTGCTTGGAATGGTTCTACAGGTGCGGAGATATTTACTTGACGAGTCTTGACTTTTTTTCACGTAGGGGAAAACCTTATTGTGACACATTGCGGTAATTTAGAGGTTATCGTGGTCTTTTATCAGCTTAAAACACCACGATAGTCACCGCTAGTATAGACGAGTGGGTCCAGGGTTCTCCGTCCGATACGCTTACTCCATTGCTTTGCTTTGCTAGAACCATGTCTCAGGGGCAGCATACTTCAAAAATTTGGCTTAATTTAATTTAAATAAGTAATAGTGAACACGAAATTTTGACTGCGCGATAGTGAATATGCTTCTTCTTTGTATCACAATTTTGAATCCTATAACTTTGTATAGGTTTTTTCAAATAAACGTCAAATAGCATCTTAAAACTTAAAATATTTACTCACATTTGGTGACTTCAGGGCTGGTGCCTTCGCTTTCGCTCCTAACTACTAGCCTGATAGGTTTTGGCCCATCTCCTGTTTCAATTTCCTTCTTACATCACCCGCGTGACGATATGGGGTAGTGGATGTACTAATACAACCGCTACGTAGTGAACCGTAGGTTTTTTTTATAATAATAAGGATGACAAGCGAGCTCACAGTCCACCTGAAGATAAGTGGATACTGTGACCCATAGACATCTACATTTATCCTCGTCCTAGATTAAGAATCCAATTTTACGCTGGTATTCTTTGAGAGCGTAGTCCTACCCCGGTCGAGCCAACCCATTAGAGCTAAAACCATAGTATATGTAGTTGCAGCATGGTTGTGCCACCTTCAAAACTTAATGTTAACGTGTGTGTCGGTATGCCTGTATCAGATCGCGGCGTTCGTGATGGCGCGGCGATTGGCGCGCCGGGAAGCTTACGGGGAGGGGGAGGCGGGTGGTGGGGGGGAGAAGGCGCGCTCGTGCTCGTCGTCCGCGCCGGACGACGACAGCGACAGCGACGCACGGGACGACCCTCGCGACACGCCGCCCGGCTGGCGCAAGAAGGCCAACCTGCGCATGTACACCATCCTTGACAAGATTTTCTAGCAGGTAATTTATTTATTTATTTTATTCTTTATTGAGTCGAGTTATATTTATACATACATACAGACAATGTTGGAATTAAAAGCAATCACTATCTGAGGCGTATAGTTGCTAATAAAATGCGTCAGGCGTCAACAGGATGTATTTTCTACCACTAGTCAGAGAAGACGAAAGTGCAGTTACGGCTGTTCGTCGTCGATAGATTAAGATTATATAACCGTGGTAGAGCCACGCGGCAGCTTTTGCTGTCGCACGGATAGGCCGGCTCGAACCGGGGTGGTACCACGACCTCACAGAATACAAAGTAGAGGTTTACCTCTGCGTTTCGTTTGGTCAGTGCAGGTGGTCGGAGGCCTTTTTTACTGGAAATGAGGCATTCCATCTTAGTGCTCACGGGTGACAACGCATCTGCATTTTGATTTGTAATAGAGGATAGATGTAGATGTCTATGGGCCGTAGCAACCACTTACCATCAGGTGGACTGTGTGCTCGTTTGTCACCCTTATCTTATAAAAAAAAATTATACTATAGTAATACTATTTATATTTACTGTTTTTCTCGAAATTACAGTTGGCTTCAATGAGCCCTCATATATTTATATAAACTAGCTAACAAACTTAGTTCTGCAGCACATGCTGTATAAGAGATTATAGGCCTCACATGTGTTGATTTAAACTAAACTAAGCTAGCAGTTTATTTTAGTTATTTTCGTAGCATAATATCATATGAAATTTTGCTATGGAGTAATGCGACTGACATTGAAAATATAGACTTTAATTATAATAATAATACCATATCACTCATTTGGTTCCTAAAGACCGGGGTTCCACAGACCCGAGCAAATACCGCTCCATAACGTGTCTACCTACCATATACACTACCATCCATTTTGAGCGCGAGAATCACTCGTCACCTGAACTCAAATCAGGTGATGTCGGGCGCTCAAAATGGATGTCGGGGCGGTAGTCGTGGAACCAAGGAACCACTCCTCATTGACGCGGTCATTGGCAAGGTGGTTAAACGCAACCTCTCCGCCGCCTGGATAGACTACAAAAAGGCATTCGACTCGGTGCCTCATACATGGATTAAGAGGGTCCTCGAGCTGTACGAGGTTGAATGTACGGTTCGAGACTTTCTCGGGCAGTGTATGGGACAGTGGACTACGATCCTTTGTCATCTATCTAGGCCAGCGGATGACGGCTGCGGAGAACCACATAAGGATAAGAAGGGCGGTTGTTTGAGTCCAATCTGGTTCTGCCTCTCTCTGAACCCTCTCAGTACCTTACTGGAGGGTTCCGAGAGGGGATTTCAGCTTCGGAAAGGAGGTACAAAAGTGACCCATCCTTTCTATATGGATGATCTCAAGTTATTCGCCTCCAGTCGCTCCCATCTTATGGAATTGCTAAACATCACTTGTGATTTTAGTAATTCTATTGGAATGGAGCTGGGGTCGTATAAGTGTGCGATCCTCCATGTCGAAAGGGGAAGGGTTGCTAACTCTGAGGGCATAGACTTATCTATGCCCATCAGCATAAAGACCCTATCCGAGGCTGAAACATACCGATACCTGGGTATGTCACAGAACATCGGTGTCGATGAGGCGGGTATGAAGCAGTCAGTTTGAGATGTGTTTTATGCACGCTTGACAAAAGTGCTTAACAGTCTTTTGTCGGGGGTTAATAAGACACACGCATATAACGGTTGGATCATGCCTGTTCTCATGTAGTATACATTTGGCATACTCAGCTGAACTCAGACCGAACTGAACGCTCTGGATAGAAAAGTACGCACTATTATGACGTCCCACAGGATGCATCATCCGAGATCGTCGGTAATGAGAGGCTGTACTTGCCGCGGAAACATGGTGGGCGCGGCTTTTTAAGCGCGCTTACCATGCATAATCGCGAAGTTTGCAGCCTCCGTAATTACTTTCTGACGAGAGCGGATGATCCATTCTATAGGGACGTTATTTTTTGTGATAAAGGACTTATCCCTCTATCCTTAGCCAACGAGCAATGGCAAGACCCGGCAGTACAGAGCATTTCCGACCGGGAGACCGAATGGATCTACATGAGCCTTTCGTAGACATAGTTACCTACCTCCACTAGCTACGTTTTGGTGACCTCTTCGGGGAAACCGAGGGTTTTGTCTGTGCAATACAGGATCAGGTTATTAAGACGAACAATTATCGGCGATACATCCTAAAGGATGGCATCGTCGACATTTGTCGAGCTTGTCGCCATCCCGGTGAATAACTTAGGCATGTCATCTCCGGTTGTTCGGCGCTTTCTAACTCTGAGTACTTGCATAGGCACAACTAAGTAGCCAGGATTCTACACCAGGAGCTCGCTCTGAAATGCGGTCTCGTGGATCGGAAACTGCCTTATTATAAGTACATGCCGGGAGCCGTGCTCGAAAATGACCGCGCCAAACTCTACAGGGACCGGGCTATCATCGCAGACAGGACCATTCTTGCGAATAAGCCTGATATTGTGCTGATGGACGATGAAACAGATAAGCGAACAAAATATCTGGACCTGGCTCACGAGGTGACCGACATGTGGGGCGGACTGCCGGCCGAAATTATACCTGTAGTCGTTTTTGCGAACGGGTTATCCCAGTCAGCCTCTCAAGTCATCTGAGGCGACTGGGACTCCGTGATGGACCGCTCCAAGCTCAAATGCAGAAGGCGGGGCTCGTCGATACCGCCCGCATCGTCCGCCGGTTTCTTTCCCTTTCCCCCTATCCCTCGGCCGTTTGGTCTCCCCTGCCGAGGGCTTCCATCTGGTTGAGTTTTTATTTATTTATATTTTATGTATTTATTTTATTTTTTGATATTTATGTATGTTTATCATCTTCATTTACAATTATATATTTATACAGTCCAACCAGATGAGAAAAATATATAGATACCCCCCATTATAATATAACTAAAAGAGAGCCATGCGAGCAATTTATATTCTAGGTCCGAATTATATGTAGGCCTGAGGTATCTATCAAAAGGTTTTAAAGTTTTTAAAAGTATTGATTTTAAGTTAAAATTGTTTAGTAAGGGTTATTATACTATACTAAAGGGTACACGATTGATAATAACACCCGGGAATGAGGCGATCGCGACCATGTTTCTAAATGTTTCATACTAATTGTATAAAATAATATATTGTAAACAAATTTTAATTCAGACAGAGTTTTCTTTTTAACCAGTGGTAAAAGTAAAAAATTACTTCAAATAAATATTCATGTAATCTATATCGAATAACAATTATTTTTAAATTCACTATTGATTTTTACATAATACTTATTGTAAGTCATTTTTTTTATTTACCACTAGCTGTTCCCCGCGACTTCGCTCGCGCGTTATGGTTTCTATGTTTTGCGCGGAACCCTAATTCTTTTTCTAAAATAAAAGTAGCCTAAGTTACTCCTTATGAAATTCGCTATCTGTCAGTGAAAGCCCCGTCAAAATCGGTCCAGCCGTTTCGGAGATTACCCGGAACAAACAGACAGACAGACAGACAAAAAATTAAAAAGTTGTATTTTAGTTATAAGTACCGTATATACTTTCATATGCATTTAGTAAAAAACTGTAATTTTGCCATTACAAACAGACACTTCAATTTTATTTATTTGTATAGATTGGTTCGGAAAATACCTCTGTCCTAGGAAGAACCAGCGAGAACCCCGCGGGACTTTTTTTAAACATATTTCACTTTACAATAATTTTGTTTGTACAATTTTTAAATGAATTTTCAAAGAACCAGCATGGAGGCGATCATCTCATTCTCAGGGGTAAGTTTCGTTCATGTATTCCGTGATATTATAATAACCCTTTTTGTACAGTTTTTCTTTAATAAAATGTTTAAACTTGTTTATTGACAAACTTTGAACATGTTCTGGGATTTTGTTGTAAAAGCGTATACATTGCCTCATAAATTAATTACTGATTCTGTGGAGTCTAGTAACTGAAATTACAAGCTTATGTTTGTTCCTAGTATTTAAAGTATGAACATCCTTATTCTTATTAAATAATACATTACATTTTCATAAATATATTGCGATGCCAAAGTTAATATGCTTATTTTTTTTAATTTTTACGTTTAAACGTTAAGACATACTTTTTAAGTCAATTTTGCAAAAAAATCAACACTTACACCCATAAAAAGTTATTCTCTAATTGAGAACATATTGTTTTCACAGTATTGTTAATATTATTCAATGAGAGCAATAATAAGTTATTGCTCTCATTGAATAATATTAACAATATATCACACTCGCACACTTACACACAATATACACACAACTTAACAAAATCCCAGAAAATATACAAAACCTGCTCAAAGTTTAAAAACTTTATTAAACTAAGTTTGTATAAAAAGGGTTATTATAATGTTAAGAAATTTATGTATGATAATAAACGCTGGGAATGATGTGAGCACTACCAAGCTATTTCTAATTTGTTTTGTGTTGTTAATTGTGTAACATACATGATTGTCAGCAGTGGTGTAGCTAGGCGTGGGCGAAGTGGGCCCTCGCCCACGGTCTCGCACTTAAAGGGACCTTGCGAGGCCCCTTAAAATGCGATGCCCTCAGACTTTACCACAGATGACTAATTAATTTGATCACTTTTACGCTCGAAAAATAAAGTCACAAATTTAAGTGTGTTTGCTTGGGGCCTCGCAAGAAGACTCTTAAGTCAGACTGCGAGGCCGTTGTAAATATCTTCAAAGACCGCGATTGTTACATTGACGTAATACGAGACTTGTCAGGAGTTAATAGATATGATGTAGGTATGTCGTGTGAAAGCACGTTTAGTAGCTATACTACTAAGGATCTACCCAATAGATCTATATCTATTGGGTAGATCCTTGGAATGAAAGAAAAGGGGCCTCGCTGATGCAACGTTTATATTAGTCCACGCTGTGCCTCTTATTGTAAGCTGTTACTTAAAAAAAAGTCCCGCTGGGTTTCTTGCTGGTTCTCCCAAGGACAGAGGTTTTTTTTTCGAACCAGTGGTAATTAAACTTTCAATAAGTATTATTTATAATTTATATTGAATAAAAAAGTTTCTGTATAATTGTGAATAATACACGAGTCACGAACTCATCCGAACGACGCACGACAATCCACGAACACTGAGTGTCGGCGCCGCCGAAGGTTCGGCAGATTTTTTGCCGAAACCGAAACTATTACCGAAACTAGACTTTTTCGCTGAAATTTGCCGAAACACAAACCGAAACCGAATCTTCGGTCGGTCACTAGTAGAAACCTTTACCATTGATCACGACTTTTTGAGTTCTGTTACTTAAATATGAAATAATAAGTCTAAGCGCAATATTTTTTACACCGAAATGTTGTAGTTTCTTCATTAATATCTCATGATGAACAAAATCGAAAGCCTTAGAAATATTACAAAAAATACCTAAGGCTTCTTGTGAATTCTCCCAGGCATTAAAATATATATTTCATAAGCTCCACACCTGCGTCCGATGTCGAGCGATCACTTGTAAAACCAAATTGGGTTTATGAAGTAATTAATTTGTATTAAAAGAAATTAAATATTGATACAAAATTATTTTTTCAACAATTTTACTAAGAGTTGGTAGTACAGAAATAGGTCTAAAATTAGCGGGGTCACATGTACTGCCAGATTTAAATAAAGGTATTACTGTACTATGTTTCATTAAATCGGGAAACACCAGAATCGATACAAGTATTAAAGAGAAAGATGAGATGCAATTAAATCTATTATGGACGCAATAACTGTAACGAAAATCCCCATAAATCTGCGGTTTTTTTGACAAGGGTTTTGGTATACTTTGCAATATCTTGCGGTGGTACTTTTTCAAATCTAAATTCTTTTAAACAGGCATTAACATTCTGTTTGAGTAATGACTCGGCGACAGTTGGAGAAGTATTCAATGACTATGTTGTCAAGATAGGAATATCAGTGAAATATTTCTCAAACACCGCTGCGACTTCTTGATTTGATTTAGTCAATTCATTGTTAATTTTCAATTGATAATTTGAGTTACATATTTGTCTTTACTTTGTCTAAGGTTTCGCTGTTAATCATACTGCATGTCATTTTATTTTTAGCCGTTTTCATTTTGTTGCTAATATGTAAAGATTTGGCTGTGAAGCAAACTGTTCTAATCGTAATAAATAGAATTATATTCTATTTATCTGCCGACTTCGAAAAAGGAGACGGTACTCAATTCGACTGTATGTTTTTTTATATGTGTTAAATCATAACTTTGTACTGGGTGAACCGATTTCAATGATTCTTTTTTTATATGAAAGCTGATAGTGCTCGTGTGGTCCCAAATGAATTTGATCAAGGTCAGACCAATAGTTTTTGAGTTATTCTTAAATACCTTATATTGAAGTCGGCTGTACAAATTTTTAATTTTTAATTATTACGATTAAATTTATTGGACAGAGAAAATATTGCCTAAGTAATTTAATAGTTATCATGTATTAAACATTAGATCATGTTTTAGTTAATGCCTGCCGACGAGTGTGAGTTGAGAAGTAATGTATTATTTTATCGTGATTTTTATATAGAAGGGAAATGAACACAGTTCACTTGATGGTAAGTGGATATTGTGGCCCATAGGCATCTAC